CACCTTGGGTAATATTTGATATAGTGAGGAAAATGAAGTCTTCTGAATCTGTCCATGTATACAACAGTCTTGCGAAGAAAATTATTTACTCTAGAGCAGAGTCACTCTCCTTTTGTATAAACAAATGTTTGAGGGAAGGGACCCCAACTGCCTTAAAAGTTATCAAAGATGACACTGATATATAAAAAGGGAAAAATTAACTCTACAACTAGTTAAAGACACATCTTTCATCCCTGTATTTTCCAAAGCCCTTGAATTAGTAATGCAGTCATGGTTATTCACCTATCTATCTTGACCTTGTTAACATAATCAGCAAAGCACAATTTGGATTCCAAAAAGAGGTCAATAATTGATGCAATTTTTTCTCTTATTAAAATAGTGCTAAATCTTTTGGGGACGAAGGACTTTGCTCACGCCACTTTTTGCATCCTGAGTGAAACTTAAAATTGTGTAGATCATACGTGCTTTCTAAGAAAACTGAATTTCTCTAGTATAATGGCACAGTTTTAATTTACTAACTGGGAGAGGTGGCTCAAGGCATCTATTGATGTCACTGCAGTGCCTCTGACCAAGAAGTCCTAGGTTTGAGTCCTATGGGGCATAATTTTCAACACGAGCTAGAGAGCTAGGTAGAGTTCTGTCATTATGTGGAGAAGGTGGAGAAAAATTGTAGTGGATGGCTGCTCTGATTGGTATTTTTCCATGGTTCCTTGGTTTGACACCAGGTAAATGCCGGAGCAGTATCCTAGCAAACAGGCCATAGACTGTGTGCGATCTTTCCTTTCTCTTCCTTGTCCTATCCTCACCCCTTAGTTCCACAAACTTACACTAACAGGCACTGCACTACCACACGTGCCGGGAGACCGGTCGGGAGCTTAAAGCTTGCCCGGCTGGGGTGTTGCTTCGCTGGCAGGAGACCCTGGTTGGGGAAAACCCCACCAGCCTGATGGTATATTGGTGCTGGGTATCACCATCCAACAGGGAAAGATAATCGCCACATATCTAGGAAATAACATGCACTACACTTACGGGACTAATAGCCTTATCAGTTGACACACCCGAAATTAACAACTTAACTTATTAGATATTACCTCAAGAGTTGCTAACAAATTGTCTGTGTCACAAATAAGTGCTCAAATATAGCAGCGCTGAAATGTGTTTAACCCCAAGGTTCTACTGATTATTAATGATTTACCTACTTTTGTATCCACGGATTTACAATCATTCAAAACTTCAACAAAAGACAATTTGACTCTAGCTGATCAGTGGTTTAGAACTAATGGCGTAATACTGATTGAAAGTAAAACAACAAATACGCTTTAGCCTAAAAGGATGCCCAGTGAATAAAATTCAGTTAACGTGAAATTTTTAGGCATAGTGGTGGATAACAAAATTACCTTGGAGGCCATATATGAAAATACATCACTGCAAAACATTCCAGATTACTTATAAAGGAATATGAAAAACTATATAGGAGACTTACTCTGGAGAAAGTCACATATGACTTTCTGCTACTGAAAATGCATGTTAGAATAATCTGAGAATCACACAAACTAGCCAACTGTTCATAAGGCTGAGCTTATTAATGGTTTTACATTTATATATTTATACCTTATTATTTTATATGAAGTCTCCCATTGGATTCTTAACATAGACATGATCTTCATTCATATAACACCAGAAATAGTGGAAGATTTAATGTCCCAAACTGTCAAAACAGCTTTGAATTACTTGGTATAAGATTGTATAAGCCACTTATGAAACTTACAGATATGCCTTTGAATGCATTCAAGAATGAGCTGTGCAAGTGTTAGGCAGATTCACCTTTCTACTCCTGGAACTTTGTGAATGTTCACAGGCATATTAAAGTAATGTAAAGTTCATTGTATTAACTAAGAGAAACATGGGTAAATTGACTCTTATTGTGTTGTAATCTTAATTGCTAATGAAACATAAAGATAGGAGAACCTTGTTGCTCACAGTAGTAGCATCAATGTCTATTGCTGAATAAACTTTAATAATAATAATAATAATAATAATAATAATAACAACAACAACAACAACAATTATTATTATTATTATTATTATTATTATTATTATTATTATATATTATTATTATTATTATATATTATTATTATTATTATATATTATTATTATTATTATTATTATTATTATTAGAAAAGAACATGCATATACAGAATATATGGAGGCACTATTTTAATAGTGGTACATTTCGATTTACACCTATTTTAAGATATTGAACTCTAAAGTTTCACGATTATAAAAAATCAGAGATAGAATTAGACTAAAAACAATTGAGAGACTTTTTCTGCATACTTTGCAAAATATTGGGTTGGTAAGGGAGTTGTGGATTTAGCATTTTTGGTTTGATTGTCTGACTTCGCTTGCTAGCTAGTAGTGCCCCCCATGCCTGAAACTAGTTTACTTCCCACCCGTGGGGGTAAGAGAGAGATGAGGCGAACATTCCCTTCAGTGTAACGAGGGAACTCTGCCTGTCTGTCATCACACAGCTACAGAAATTGAGGTGATTTTAAAGGGAAGCTACAATTCTATTTGTGCCCTTACTGAGAACCGCACCCAGGATCTCACCATGGGACGCTAGAACGCTGCTCAAGAGCTACTTTATGTAAAGGAATTAGGAATGTCTTAATGTATGTATTTGAGTCCATTCACAGGCTGGCGCGCCAGGCCTACCGGCGTCGACCCTGCCTTGCGGCTATGGGTTATGGGGGCATGTAGACATCCCCACACCTTATTCTGGTCTTCTCAACCTCAAAAGTGAATTTTCTCATCGTCACACTGAGACATTGCAAAGAAAACGCACACTATAGTCTTGGCTCGACCACGAATCGAACCCGGGGCCTTGTAGTGGAAAGGAAGCATGCTAGCCACGAGCCGGTTAAGGAGTTATACCACCATGAAAATAAGTTTGGCGGGTCAAATTGGCCAATGCCATTCTAAGAAATGCTTAATTAATGCCATTCTAAGAAGAGGTAGAAATGAAAACAATACTGATTTATTAATACAAATTAATTATTGATTTAATGTTGCTTTTAAGTGTACATATGGGTCACATTTAATTTTCTTCATCTTCTTCATATTGTCCAGTTCCTACATGCAGATTGCTGTAATTGTGATGTACAATTGAAATGAATGAAAACAAATCAAGTATGTTCTTTTTCTTCTCATCATCAGCTTTCCTTTATTGTGGGTATTGAAGTTGCAACTTTACTGCATGAAAACCAATGTCTTTGATTTGAGATTTACTTTTACATCAATATAAAAAGCTTTTTTTTGACAGAAGTAATCTAATTTTTAGCCCGTTATAGACACCGTTTCTTTCATTTTTATTCTTGTTATAGACTTACATGAGTCTTGAACACATAAACTTTTACGTTTAATTTCTGTGTTAAATACAAACGTGTACAAAATAATTATACCAATTTCTATACCTGATTGTTGTTATTTTTTAAATCAAGATCTGCATCATCAATATTTCTACAGATGCAAGAATTATCTCAAAAGTATACGTAGGCTTCTGTGGCTCGAATTCATAACTTCTTGGCTATCTGGGTGACGCCGTGGCGTTGGCTTGGAGGCTGACGTTTCTACCCTGAAGTCACATGCGAAACGTCGGCCTCTCAGCCAACGATGCGGCGTCACCTGATAGCCAAGACGTCAAATATCTCGAAAACTGCTCATCATGAGACTTGTGGAAAACCATGTAGCCACACCACTCGAGTTGTCACTATGAAAATAAAAAGATTGCAACCTCCAGTGATTCATTTATATTGTGATGCTCTTGGGGACGGGGAGTATTTACAGTTTTACCACTTTAATACGTTTTACCAAAATAAATGTAAAACCACTTACATGGACCTGAAAATGGAGTAAATTCAATTTCTCTTACAAATGGAGGTGTACTATTAACATAACACCTCCACATCAACAGACTATTATATTGAATAATCAGATCAGTGAAAGTTCACGAATCAAGACTCCCTAGTAAGGAATTTGGTCATGTGTGCAAGTAGATTGTGTGTGGTGCTGAAATTGAAATTACAGAATTTTGTTCAAAACAATTATTTTTCTGTTTAGTGTGTAATGCATACCAGGAAGCTGTATCCTTGATGGAAAATTTGTTGTGTTAGTGAAATGCAAATATAATAGAAGTACTGCCATATGTAAGTTTTATTACAAACTAAATTGCTGTACTGAAGAATCTAGCAAAAAATATTTTTAGGACCATTTTATTTTACCAATTCATCTTGAATCAGCCACTATTGGAAGGAATTATAATTGTTGGTTCTATCATCTCTTTAATGATATGAAGTGGATAAGTTTGAACCACTTGTGTAAATAACGTACAAATTCAAGCAAACAAATAAACAGAATGAAAACTCTTAATAGAATTGACAATGGGTAAGTTTTATGATAAGATTATCCAATATTTATTTTTCAAGAATGCTAATAGTAAATATCTTAAAAATCATTTAAAAGTTCATATTTTGCAGTGAGTTTGTACTCTTGTTTTTAAATTGTTAGTGGCACAACAGTTTAATGATGAATGACTAATCTGTGTCGATGAGGGCTTGAATTCTGATTACATGTCATCTTTTCATTGGTGCATTCTAGATGTAGCTAATTTCTAAATGTGCGTTTACCACTACATATAGGTGATAGAAATGTATAGTTATCGAGTCATTTTTTTGTCATTATTGCCTTTTTTCTACTGTTAGGTCATTTTTTCTACCTTTTGTGTCATTTTTACCCTTTTTGTTTCTTTTTCATGCTTTTTGTTTGTGAATGTTTCATGAATATGCAATGGCACACTCAAACAAAGTTTTTATGGTATCGTCACTTCATGATAAAATTCACTTCTGTAGTGGAATCCATTTTTTGAACTTATAAATTACACAGATCTTCAGAAACTTCCTTGACCTTTTAAAACTGGCTGTTGGATGATCAGTGCTAAGGATTACATTATTTCCTAAAATAAATACTTTATATTAAATATAATTTCATATAAATAAATTTTATTTAATATTGTTAAATTCATTGAATAAATAGACATTTTCATACAAATTTTTGAGTATTTTTTAAAAACTTAGGTAATTCCTGTTATTTTTAAGTCATATTATAGGTCAAAGTATTTTTAGGTCATCAGAATCTGAGCCCTGGTGAAGACCGTACAAATAAACTGAATCTCAGTGTCCTAGAAAAATATATAAAAATTTCATTATTTCGGTGCCAATTTATGAGAGTAAATAAAAAGAAAAGAAAACTAGCTACTGCTTTAAAAACTCGTTAATAAAAAAATGTAGCAAGAAGTGCAGACATTTTGAACAATGTTGAATTAATTACATAGGCAAAAATTCTGATGTAATTTTCGATATTATTGATTGTGTTTAGCCAATCTTTATCATATTTTATTAACCTGACAAAATTGAGAAAGGGTCAATATTGTCTACAATTTTAATTTCCTTTTTACATAAGAATTCATGTTGTAATGAAATACCAAAATACAAAATACTGATTAGATTTTGTTTTCATTGTTTTTCTAGTTAAAAAAAGCATTTTTCTCGAATAATTTAAAAAGTTCAATTTATACATCTGCAATACACATTTTCTGAATTTTTTATTTTTCTTTTTCTTTCAACATTTCAAGCCTAAAGATTGTTTTCATCTTCAACTGTTTTTAAAATGTGTTGATTTCTACCATTGTGATCAATATTGGATTTTCTTATATCTTCTTTCATCATGTTTATTGTTTAATTAGTTAAGAAAACAATAGGGGAAATTATTATAAAATATTGCACAATAAATTACTATCTTATGAAAAATAATAAGTCTTCAATTCATGATTAAAAATACACTCTTCATACTTCTGGTGAGTATAATGATCAAAGAATTTCAAAAAGCGATTTCTTCTGTACAACTCATTTTCAGGCTTGATTTTTCAATTTCTCCTGATGTTTCCTCTGCAATTCAGTTTTCCTTAATTTTTTCAAGAATCTTGCATTTTGGGTTTCTTCATGTAATTGTATTTTCAGGAGGTTGGATTGTTCCACTGGTTTCTTGACTACTTTCTTTTCAATGTGAGCTGCCTTATCATTTGAAAGTATATCCTCTTTTGGTTGTATTCTTGATTTAAAATGCTGAGAACTTGTTTGCTTTGGTACTGGAGGAATAAGAGGTACAAGATTTTCTATTGTTTCTCCTACAGTATTCTTGATTGATTGAGTATTACTTTTATTAGGTTCATTGTAAATTTCTGGTGTATTGGGAGAAGTAGTCAATGTTGAATGATTTGATTTCAAAATTTCTGTTTTGTGGCTTTGCTGGACTGCTTGTGATGGCTGCTGTGGAGGTTTGTTCAGAAGTGTGTTATTTTCAAGATTAATGAAACTGTTCATCATGTTTGTGTTTTCCAAAAATGTGAAGTTTGTTTCACTTATCTGTGCATTGGAAATTACCTGCTTTTTATTTTGTGTAATACTTTTTTCGTACTCTTTATATTTTCTCCTGAGATGTGCCTGTCGATTAAATTTTCTGACCTCAGGTTTCGAGCATCTTAGTTCTTTACGTAAAACATAGTAGATACTCCATCCATTGAATTCAGAAGGCGTTACACATCTGGGAGCAACTTTCTTGTCATAGACGTACAAAACTCCTTGAACAGTAACTGGGCACCCAATACCTTTGTCATTTTCACAGATACGTCTTTCAGATTTCACTTCTTTTACCCGATTTGTTGCAGATGGTAACCACCCTTTCATATTACATGAGCAATGCCATAAATTTCCTTCCAGGCGAATCATTTTAGCTGAGACACTTGTGAAAAACCCATCAGGAAGTTCTGATAGTGAATTATTTTGTAAATAAAGTTCTCTCAGTGATGATTGTTGATCAAATAATCCTGGTGGGAGAGCTTCAAGCAAATTGTTTGAAAGGTCAAGAATTGTTAATCGATATAGGCCGTAAAATGAATCCATGGACACTGATTTGATGTTGCAGTGCTGTAACTCGAGAGTTTCCAAAAGTGGTGAGTCAAGAAAGGCATCAAATGAAATGGTTACAATAGTTCCTGAGAGTTTTAAATATCTCAGTTGGGGCATCCCACTTAATATCTCCTTCTCTAAAACTTCAATGCCTACATTATAAAGAACTAGTTTCTGAAGTTGATGAAGACCCTGGAATGATTTTGGGTGTAATGTAAGAGATGAATTATTACTGCCCAAGTAAAGAACTCTTGTGGCATTCATTATTTCAAATGTACTTCCAAATACTGCTTCTATTGGATTGTGCCAGAAATATGCTTCTTTTAGTTTTGGAAATGGTGGAAGTGAAAATTCTGATAAATGAGAAAAATTGTTGTAGGATAGATCCAATTTCTGTAATTCAAGTAATCCTGCAAGTCCTGTACTATGGATGTTGAGAAGTCTATTATGAGCTAAAGAAAGTGTTTTTAAACTAGGTGCCCCATAAAATGCAAATTCAGGTAGGAAAAGAAGCTGATTTTTTTCAAGTGACAAATGTTCAAGTTTACCTAGGCCTTCGAACATTTCCCAATACACCTCGTGTAAACCACAGTCAATGACTCTTAGTAGAACCAGATTAGATAATCTTGCAAATATGGAGAGACGCGCTCTTTCTTGTTGTTCTTTGTAGATTTGATATGGCATTAATTCTTGTTCTGTACTAGTCGATTTTAGTACCACGAGATTGGATAAGGGAGTTTTAAAATGTTTTCTCATTCTATCTGCTATATCTGGTTGTAAATTCAGAGAAATTTCATTTTGATGAGGATCCAGTTGTGGAGAGGAGTGTCCTTCATGATCAATCTCATTACTTTTTAGACTACTCCCCAGAAGTTTAACATGTTGAAGACTTAAATATTGTAATGATATCAATGGCTTCATCACATCATTAGATAACATAAAATTGTGATCTGTCATGTGATCACCAGATCCATCCTTCTGTGTGTCTGGAGAGTAACCTTGTATGTGGAAGTACACTAGATGCTGAAATTTCTTCATATGATCAGCTTCAAGGGTAATATCTTCAGATCCTCGGCTTTGAAGTAATGTTAGTGCCTAAAAGATAAAATTACATTCTTAATATTAGATTGTGTGTAATGTTTGCACCAAATTAGAGTTGTCATTAACAATTAAGGTTTTTGTGTGAAGAACCTGTTACTTGCGAGTCTGTATTGTCACTTATGTAGTTATTATGGAAAATTATTATATCTTTATTGCCATCTAATGAACTTATCAGTACTACCAAAAGTATAATTTTTCTTTGAAAAAAAACTGATCACTCTTTGGAGTTGATTGCTTCTAATTTAGACTATTTGTTACTTCAGTGTAGAATAGGATGTGTAGAATAGGACATTCTTTTAGTAAATGATTTTTGGGAAGCTGTTCATTGTTTTTAAAACTTTGTGAAAACTAATTTGCATAATGCTGGACTTCATCATGATTCTTCAAATAACATTGAATTTATCAACTAGCAGTAGATAATATAATGATAGGCATATGCACAATCGCTTGTGTAAAAGATATAGGAAAAGCTTTTTATAGTGTTTTCCATCAGGAAATAAGGAACTCTGCCCTAAATTCAGGTATAAATGAAAAATTTAGAAGCAGTAAAGAGTTGGTGCAAAGAAACCGTCTCGCTGTACAGGTTAACGAAAGAAATGTCAGTAGATGAACTACCTAGTTAGGTTCCATCAGGTCACTGAGGTTAAGCAAGTTTGAGACTCTGTGATACTTTGATGAGTGACAGTCTAGAATCCCTCAGAACTAATGGCTGCGGGGTGAAAATCAAAAATAAGAAATATGCACTAAAGCTGAATGTTGATTGCAAATTAAAAGCAGCATTATTGCCTGTTTGTTGTTTCCAAAATAATATTGGGGAAAAACAAACAAACACACCTAATCAATTTAATACCAATTGTGTGAGACCAGGCAGTAAATAATTTTTTTCTTTCCTAATAAGCTTAATAGACAAACTTGGAAAAGGAATAAATTAAAAAAACTTAGGTTGCATTGATTGGCTTGTGCAAGCAGTTTATTAATTAATTCCTCTATGAAGATGATTTATGTTTGTTGGCTAACTGGGAAGAACACCCTGAAAGGAGGGTTGTCATGTTGAATAAGCCTAAAGAAAACAGTTTGACATTTTAAATAATCTGCCACAAAATATCACTCTGAAAAGTGGGAAAATGTTGAACAAAAGTATTTAAATGCTTAGTCACTTAGTTGAAGAAAGAAGTTTTGAAAGTGAAATGAACAATAGAATTAGCAACATAATTTCCAAGTAACAAATAAAATGGAAATATATTAGGCAATATTTATTTCTATGCTCGCTTATTTGTTGTATTTCCAGAACTCATAAATGGTTCTCTTGTAGCCAAGTCCTTGAAAAGTCTTTAATTTCACTGGTACTTAAGTTCGTGGAGGTACAGAACAAAAGGTCATGTATCTACATTTTTCCTTTTTTCAGGGAAAGAAGAAAAACTCTAAAATGAATGCTTTTCAATTAAAGAATTTCTCAGACTTTTAGTGTTGGGGAAAGGAGGTTTCTTTAGTGATGTTTTCACTAATTGTCAAATAGAAAATTGCAATAATTAAATGTGCCCTTTTTCATACCACTCAGGACAAATGTCTAGTGGATGTGGAAAAGGAGATATGCGGCCTCTTGAAGAAGAGTGATTTAATTGCATGGAAATCATATGCGAACACCTTACTTTTATGAACCATTGTGTTCATTTTCTCGCATTATTGACGTAATTGATATCTTCAGACATGTTTTGTGGTGTAACAAATTGCACTCTTCAAATTATCATTTTGTAAGGATACATTGTCCATTTATTCAGTTCCTATTTTATTTTCAGACGTTCTTTGTCACCAAATGGTTTGTGGCCTCTCTTCTCTTCTATGCTTATTGATCTTTTGAGCAATTTCTGTCAACTGAATGAGCAAGCACTTGTCTTTTTTAAATAATTTTTCCTGTTTTTCTTAGCCACTTTCAAATTAAAATTTTTCAAAGCATTTTATCAAATAGTTGCACACCTCATCCCTTAATTTTGTTTTCTTGCAAATTAAATTGAATGCATTCGTTTGATTAATATTCTCTCTGCTACAGGAGTCGTCTTTGTAACATAAATAGATGATTCAGGCCATTTGTTCGGTTTGATAAAATGACTTGTTTTCTTTCCTCTTTTAAATATGACACTTGGTACTTTTCAAATGTTTTGGTGTGAGGATCAATGTAAATAACCTTTCTGATTTAACAATACAATAAACAAAAAGGAAAAGTGAAGATGGGTTTGTGACTATTTGTTCTGTACCTCCACTTATTATTATCATCAAAGACTATAAAGATGCTGAAGAAAGATGAAAGCAGAAGAGGCTTGAAAACAGTTAGCCTCAGAAGGACAACTTGAAGCACAAAGAAAAAGGAAAATGAGAAAATGCAAATTACTAAGCAAAGTGCAAAGGAACAGCCACTTCAATTGATAAATGAATATTATAAGAATGCATCATTAAATTTCTAAGAAGGTGGAATCGCTCTATTAATGTCATCTGGTTCAGATATAATGAGAAATGAAGATCATGATAACCAAATTATTGATCACCTGCAGTTTTCCATAGGTAAAAGTAAATGAAAAAATTTTATCTTTGGTGACTAAAACAAATAAGACTTAAGTTTAAAAAGCAGAAATGGTATTTAATAATTCTTTATTAAAATGCTAAAACATTGTTGAGATTAAATTAGCTAATTATTTATTCAGAATAAAAGGCAATATCATTCAAAGTTTTGTCGCTCCTTGAGCAATGTGAGAGATGTAATATGAAATCACAGTTTGGGCGGTCAATTAATTAGTTAATATGAAATTGAATTGTGAATTATTTATGTGGTATTTTATCCAAATTTAATTTACATTTCAATTACATTTTAAAAGCATACCCTCTAAAATTTAGGCTAAGAGTCACTTGCACTTGATGCCTTACTAACTAGCTGAAAGGGAAAAAAGTAAAATTGAGGCAATAGAAAAGAACATGTGAAAAATTTCCAATTCGTTAAATACACTTTTCATTCATTTAAAATGTATTTTAAAGAATCCATTTTTTTGTATTGATGTAAAATATAAATTAATTGACAAACTTATTTTTTAAAACTTAACAATCAGATATTTGAAATAATGAGTGATAGCTAATTTTTTAATGATTGAGCAGTATGTTTTGATTCAAGCTGCTAGAAATTTTCTTAATTGATGCACTGAAGCTTATGAGAATATCCATTTTAATTATATCAATGTTGAAATGTTTGCTATTCATGAGAACGTTTCAAAGAAAAGCGTACAAAGTACAGCAATAGGGAGACACTTAAGTTTCTGCCAGCAAGCAACCTCTAATAATTGTCTATTAACATATTTCCTCAAAAATTCGAATTTTCTTCCCAATTAGTAAGCACTAATGAATGTATGAGAATTCGCTGATCTGCATGCATACCAGAGTACACAATGTTCTTTACAATTGCATCCAAATTAAAATAATACCTTAGAAAACTAATAAAGGCTAAAGGCTAAAGCATTATGTGCATGCACTTCACCCCTTCTTAAATTTTGTTGAGTACAAATCGTCAATCCTCCTCCTCCTCATCCTTTTCACAACAATTGCACATTTGCTGTGGAATACTAAACTCCCCATCTTTAGGCCACTGTGCTTACTGATACGATTTTTGAAATGCACACCAATTCATTATTTGCTGCGGATAGAAAATATGATTCTACAATGGAATCAATAATGATCAAGAGGGTCAGTCAAACCTCAACAGCAAGTGGTACACAGTCTAGAAGATTAACACACTATTACAATAGTGAGAAAGCTAACCACAAAATTATTATTTCTAATATTGAGTATTTAATGAGTTACAATGATCATATATAATAATTATATTTATTTTGGGAAGAGATTTGAAATTGTAATTTACATCTGGTTATTATTCAGAGAGTCATTTCAGTTTTTCCCCATCGGGCAGGAGTGTTTTTTGATATTCATTTGAACTTTTATAATTTTTAATAAAATCCGTAACTAGCTATCCAACTCTAAATGGTATACAACTCATCCTGACTTACATTCTAACTACTTATTCGATACCTAGAAAGTGATCATGTGGAATTGATTTTCGGGCATAGTCTGTATCTGGAACATCTCTCTTCTTGCTCCAACAATAGCCAGCCAACACATTAGAAATGCACTTGCTTTGGTACCTGTTATACATTGTAGAAATTTACTGATGAAACTCTGACCGGGCTCATCGCTTTTCCCATCGCCAAGTTTTTCCAGGAGGAAGTCTGTCAGAGTCTAAGAAGTAAATTTTCAAAGACATGTTACATCCCATAGCTTTATAAAAATGCTGAAGTTCACCTTTGATAGTGTTCTTCTTTATGGTTTCCAATGAAATTGCAAAATAATGCCTGAGACTGCCAAGCTGCATTTTCTAGTAGATTTAAGTTCTTCAAACTGTTCATTAGCCATTAATGACTGCATTGGTGGTTTAAAAAATCCCATGATTCAATTTAACATCAGTTTCTTTGGGAAATTTTGATTTCAAGTTTAAGAATCCAACAGAAAGTTAATCCATGGCTTTTACGAAATTTTTCATTCCTCCTAATTAAATATGTAATGGAGGTAAATATGTTTTTCAGGATTCACTAAATGGAGATGACATTTTTTTTCTGATCAGGGATACAAGATTCCTTTAATATTTGTCAAACAGAAATAACAATCTCTTAGATGATCCATATATTTGAGGCCCAGCTCTTTTCAAAATCATCAAGACGGCTAAAGTAATGTTGATAACACTTTTTCGCAAGAGGCGTTAAATTGCGCCTCAGGGTCTTTCAAGTCATCTCACCACAAATTCAGAAATTATCTGCTTTATTTACACACGTTCTTGGCATGATGAAAATACAAAACAGTGAAACACAGCTTACACATGACACTTATAAACACAAAGGAAGGAAATATATCACAAGCGATATTCATGCTAACAAGCTCATAGACACCTCAGTAATCTTACACCATACCAAGAACTGTCACCCAATCCAGCTCATGCCAGATTAATTGATCTGAGCATGTCAAAACACGAACGAACCTGCTCAATATTGCCTGTTGTTGTTTCAGCATGACATAATGTATGATTTCCATAAATACAGCTCAAATAAAATTGTTACATACAAAGTAAAGGTTCCTACGACAGGTCAAAGAGAATGTTAAAATTGAATTTTAAAAAGTAGCTATCACAAAAAAATTGTACCTGATAGAAAAATTCTGAATACATATCTGAATTCGTTATGAAAAAACGCACTAAATTAACTAATTAGCTTTGTGAAGAAAACGTTGTCAACCAGTGATATTTGATATTCACAAATTTTCAATATAATGTTGATTCAAATATAGATCCAGTTTTCTCCATTGTTCCCTTATCAGTCTCTTTTGATTGATTTGAATTTACCTTATTAAAAAATTCTTATGTTATTTCATCTATCAATCAGTGAACTCAAAAATATATAATTTGATAAGGCTAATTATGATGCAATTAATCAACACCTTTTAGAATTTAAGAAAGTATCAGTTAACTTAAATAAACAATAAATGAAATTTGTGAAATCCACAAGAAATTATTTGTATCAATGTGCCTATAGTACTAAGTCTCAAAAGTATCCACCCTGCTGTAATAGGAATATTACAGAACAGATCGAAATTAAAAATTAAGCTATGAAAGCAATGTAAGCAATTTCCTCCACATTTGTGTATGTTTCTATTGCATCTTTATTTAACAACATCTAAACTAATTTGAAGTCTGCATATGATCAATTTAATTTTTCTGTTGAAACCAGTCTTATTACTAATCCTACAGATTCGGGAGAAGTTATTCTTACTAGTCTAAGTCGAGTCATGGACCAAAGACTCTTCCTTATAATGATATTAATTGTTCACCTCTATCAACAAACATTGATAATTTTGCTAAATATTTCTTCAGTATGTATTTAAATATTTCTTCAGTATGTCAAAATAATAATAATAAATATTTCTTCAGTATGTCAAAATGTATTTTATCTACCATACTTTTCTGACAGTTTATCTTTTTAATTCACCTTTTTTTCAAATGCTTAAAATTAATGAATGATTTTTTTCATCAGTATTCCAGTGATACATATTTTTTCTGATTCTTTGTATACTTTAATAACTTCTGTAACAGATTGTCAATGCCACAATTGTAATATAAATTTCCATGTCCAGTCCACAAAAACCCCAGGTATCTTTTAATCTGTACCTTTGTGGAACAAGTTGTAGTGATGAAAATTAGAATCATTGTCTACAAAATTGAAAAAAAGAATGTATTCTTAAGAAAAAAACATTTTCATTTTATTCCAAAAAACATTCAATTTTTGGAGAAAAATTGCAATTTTTAAATTCTTCCCTTTACTCTGTCACAAGAGATAGTATTGTAATTGTGCGCTGTACATGAAGCCTCTAAACATTTTCAAAATTTTCTCAAAAAGTCTCCAAAAATTTCTAAATTTGCATTATTGTGGCATCACTAGTTTTAAACTACAGCTGATGAGGCAGATCTTATCATTATCCAATTAAGTTGAAACTTTGTGAATTTTGTTTTTACTCCAATTGGCAACTATTAACTCCCATCTCCCATTTAAGAAATTTTGAAAGTAGATTTCTTGCAATCACCGTAATACATATACACTGGATGCTTTAAAAAATGTTGCCTGAGCCTACCTACAAAATTGCACAGACAACTTGTGATTCCTTCAGTGCATCTGGACTTCATTTTACAGTAGGTGCTCTTTTTCTAGTATTGTTACAGAATCAGCAACTCAATCAACCTCATCAGGATAATTAGGAATGAATTTATTGACCTTGTTCATTAGTTCATTAGATACTTCATAAGCAAGTTCATTAAATACTTACGCATTGAGGTGAAATTGTGACAAGGTTTATATAAAGAGGTGCATGATGCAATACTAATAATGATATTTAACTATGAATATACAGTTAGTGAATAGTATTTCTCAAAATAGATCATAGACACGTTTCTCCTATCTGCTAGGCTCTGCATATCAAATTTTATCCAAAAAAAATTCATTGTCTATTCCTCGCATAGGTTGAGTTCATGTCTTTGTTTGCCTGTGTATTCCAAAAACTTCAGAAATCTTGGCTGACATTTTTTCCAAAACCTCTCCTGACCCAATGCGATACAGAGACCTAATAACTTAACACATATTCAAGCTTAGGTCTCACAAGTGCAAAAAATACAATTTTTGTACTCTTTAAGGAGCAGATTTTTATGACTAACTCCAACATTCTATTTACACTGTGTACAAATTTCTCTGCAAGAGTGTTTAGTGATAGTTGCCCATCAAATGTGACACCAAAATCTTTTATTATGGAAACTGTTATTGAAATTGTTATTCAGGAAACTTTTATATCATTTTATTGGAAATTATTATTTTTAGAAATAATTGATCAGTTAGCACAGGAAACCTGATTATAAGGGGATGGGGATTAAAGTTCTCTCCTGTATTTAACCATACCTGATTAATACACAATTATTAAAATCATCTAAATTGAGAACGTAATACATACAAAGGGTGCAAATGAATGACGGTCCACATTCATATATATCACAGGAACTGAATTCAGTTCTAAGTATACGGAGGAAAATGTTTCTTGCTAATGTGGTATGCTAGAATATAGTACTAGATCCCTAGAATAGCATTATGTCAAAAGTAGGTGGACTTCGATTTTTGTTTCCCCTGTACCCTTCTTATGTATATGAAGTTTATTATTGAGGACACCTATAGATATTTTGAAAATTTTAAAGGATTTATTGCATCCACAATATAAAATAATATATACTTACTTGAATATCGTTAGGAAGTTTATTTAGTACTTTCTGTGGGTCAGAACTAGTCTGAAATATGCACACTGCAATCTTCAGAAGAATTCCTCTTTCACTATGCAGAGCAGACTCAGTTCGATTACCATCATCCTCATAGAAGGCCTTTGGGAAAATAAAAAATATTATTGTGTATTGAAGTTTACTATTTTAATGATTTCTCATATTTAAGCTAATAGAAGTAACTTAATTTACGCAAATTAATTTTTTAAGGAAACTTCTTTTTGAGGTTTGCTTGTACAGCACTCAAGTTCACTTCAATTTCAGATTCCAAAAATTTACCAAGTAGTGAAATTTGTAAACTTCCATTGTACAGAATATATGTTTACTTAAATAGAAAGGGGCATACAAAATAGATAATGAATAACTCAATTGCAATTAATAAAGACCACTCAAATAAGTGTAAATAAATAATATTGTAGTTTGTTTTCATTCAGCTATTTATTTTATTTTTAAAATGTTTAAATGTTAACAAGAATTTGGCTCAAAACGCATATAATGTGTGGAGTAATCTTCCATTAAACTACTTTTTTAAATATTATAGTCTAGTTTGATAGCCCTGGTAAAGTAATAATACATTCCAAAACATTGCCAAACTATAATATTGTTAATTTACCTCAGCAATATTCCATTATCTACATAGTAATATAACAGTTATTGTGTGTCGTTTTGTACAAATCATGCTAAAATGAAGGAATTATAAACCGGAAATAGATCAGTTGTATAAAAAGTTGAATATATTGTTTGATAGCGAGTCTATAAGTCGTGTAAGCTCAAATATTACAAATAGATTGACGTAAAGTCTTGTGTGTACCTCATTTGTTACTGAAGTAGGTGGTTTTTGTTCTTGAACTTCTTCTCTCTCCAGCCATTGCTTAATAGGCAGATCACGTAAGTGCCCTACGTGGCAGGTACAGGTTGTGGGACAGCCCTTGCCCCATGAGAGATCTGGAGAGCTCTCTTCTCCTGCCACCTTAAAAACAAAAATCAATTTTTAGCCTAAATGATATTCGCAATATACAAATTTTTATTGAAATGTGAAATTTTCTATTTGTAATTCCATTTTTTCATTTTAAAAAGCGATCTTACTACCTTGCCTTCAATTACTTTAAGTTAATTACTTTCAATTATATTTCTGGAAAGTTTTTAATTTTCTAAGGGAGCAAACAATTTTTTAATAAATCCCCATTTAGTTTTATTGTGTTCATACAACTGATATTATTAAGAAAAAATTAGGCATCTCTTTCATTTATTTTGTATTATAAAATAACAACTAAATGTTTTGTAATGATTTAATTTGTTTTAATGAAAGATCATAAATGATCTAAGAATACCTTCTAAAAACTCTTAACATCTGAGTAGAAAAAACTTTACAAAATTTCATTTTTTTAAAAAGCATTAGAGTAAAAATTGTTTGTTACTAATTGCTGTCAATATATTTTGTTAATTTAAGATATTTATTGCTTTACTTGCCGCAGTAAAAAGTAATAATACATTTTGGATGATAGTTAATATACATTATATGTATAATAAATTATGAATAATTAATATAATAGTTAAAATAAATATTCTAATAAATTTAAAAGTAGGTAATTCATATACATTATTGTGAAATATGTATCAATTACTCCGATACAGATAATAGCCAAAATCTAGCTGATTTGCCTTGGAAAATAGTTTTTATTACCCAGGACCGAATACTTTCTTAACAGTTCTTGCCAAAAATGCTTGTTTCCATCTATTCAGAGTTCATCTTGTATATGGGTTAGAGTAGGGATCCTAGAATTTATGAAAACATGCACAGAGTACCCTTCTTGCCATGTTTTTCAGTTTCTAACTGTTTTTGACATTACATAAAATAAATACAGTTCATATAGTAAAGCTGACAGTTCCTTCAAAAAATCGATGTAAGGAAAGTTTTCGATAGCCTTCTATAGTTTAAAGGTTTTTGAAAATTGGTTTGCGTTTTTTCATTAACTGTACTAGTTGGTATTCCATTCTTCTGAACCACTTTTTATTTTACCCCACACCACTGTCTGTCTACATCTTTGATCGTGTTCACTATTTCTACAAAATTAAGGGATTTTCTTAGAAAACAAAGTGGTGTACTTGAAAAATTCTTAAGGGATTTTTGTTTCAACATTTCCAACCCTCTTCTTAAGTGTGGAACAACAAACTGAATCTGCACTGAACGTGGGAGCTAACATCATAGGGCTGGACCGTTACATGAAGGGGCACGCAATTGACCTTCAGATCACTTAAGCGGACGCATTCCCATGATTGACAAGTTCTCTCGGAGAGGGAAAGAAGGAGTGAATTACCTTCATGAGAAAGCTGGAAACTAGTGTTTTATAAACATGGATTCCATTATACAACCAGAAGGAAGTTATATTTTCTGCAGTAGTAATACTCTCCTTCCAAATAAACAATACTACTTTTTAGACATGTAATTGATGGTAAGTTATGAACATTTTCACGTTTTTAGAAAGAATTTTCAAAGGACCAAAAAATTATTTGATTTATAGATAATACTGATATATAGAGGTTTAATATATGGAGGTATGACTGTCAATAAATTTACATTGAATAGTCTGTTTGAAACCCTTTCTTTCCATGCTTAATGAAACCTTGAGTTTCATATTTCCTTCCATTCATAAATTCGAGATAAAATAAGTATGTATTGAACAATGATATCAAAACATGAAAAATTTCAGGAAAATAAAACTTTCTAATGTAACTAAAATTGTAGGTAGCAAGATAGTTAGTGAATTTGTCTGTTTTTCTTATTAAGCAGACTACCCCTGATTCTCTCATGTTTTTGACATTGTAGGTGGTTTGACCAGGTCAGTTTTATTTTTCTTGTATGCATGAATATTGTGTTGAATACATGAATTGGTATGTCCATTGTTTACACGTCCAAGTATCCGCTCATTTAATGCAACTTACAATACTTCTTAATATAATGCAAGAGTACTTCACTATTCAAAAATATCAGTTTAAAAAGTGTTTGTAGAAAAATCAAATTTTTTCATGGAATATTTTTACATTTGAAACTTAAATTGGTTGTGGTAAAATGAATACAGAGTAATAATGCAGAGTTGCAGCCATAGCTGCCTTTCCTTTCCTAGTGGGCTGTCAGTATACCTGTAGTAGTTGAACATCATTTACAAGTTATAAGTCAATGTTTTCGACAATATATATTTGAGAAACAATAGTATTTCTCGAATGCGTTGGGAAGATCACAATTTCCTAGAACAATACTCCAAATTTTAATTTTTTGAAGAAACTGACTACACTTTCATCTTTATATACACTGAAATGTAATGTTAAAATTAAGAAAAGAAATAAAGTAAGACACCAATATTTCATATACATTAAAAGGACTGGTTTAAACCATGATTCCTTTTGGGAAAAACTTATTTGTTTATTTAATCATATTATTTGCTTATTATCTTTGAAATATTGTAGCTAATACATTCAGAGATACATATGATAACCACCCTTAACAAAAATATCGGATTTTAATATAATTTAAAAAATATTAAATTTAACGTATTGAAAAGAAAAAATTTTTAAAAAAATTATACCCAACCTTTTGAATTTCTTAAACTAGCAATTTAATATCCTGCCACTTTTTCTTATATGTATTTACAGCCCTCATCTTTTGTTTTTTCTTCCTATTCTGTTTTTATTTATAGAGATCCGTTCCTTCTGCTCTTTAAGTAATAGGAAACTTGACACTGTAGGTAAGATTAATAGGAAATTTCACACTATTAGAAATTGTTCTTGTTGAGCAATATGAATTTCCTTTGGGACAATAGGATGAAGTATATTTCATATGCAAGGCAGGCTATCACAGAAACAAAAATACATTCAGTTTTGTTGGGTGGAACATTCAGTTATCATCCACTCGACAGACAAGTTATCTTTCATTTCCTGCCCTCCAGTTGCTTCTTTTTTCTGGGGGAGCACTCAGAAATAAGGCTAATGAAGATAGATCAGCATTGTTTAAATTTTTGTAATTATATTTCCCTTTTGTTTATTTTATTATTGAAAGTTTGTCAATTTTATTTATTTTGCAACAATTAGTTTTTAATAAAGCTATCCATTTATATTTTCAGACCAGTGGCATTGAGATTTTTTATTATGAAATCGATTTTTTGTAAAAGGGATAGTTAAACATTTATTAGGCTGCTTCATTTTTTTTTTGTTTTCCAGTTTTGTTAAAAGAGCTTTTTTGTTTCTATGTAATGAATTTTACTCATGGTGATATAACAAGACATTTTTTTCTCTTCATGCATTTTGCTTGATACAACAGTGTGGTGAAGTGCTTTGCTCTGTGTACTCACCAGGGCACATAAAAGAAGAATAGGAGTCAGCATGATGAATGTGGGCCTCTGCTTCAGCAGAGCGTGTGGAGGACTGAAGGAACCGGCTGCTGGGCAGCCAGGCAGAGCATGGAAGGGGCAGAGGG